CTCATTGGGTGTGGGTTGATGCACTTTGAACTCAAACTCCTGAGGTTTTGGGAGCAGGGAGCCGGGGAACCGCTTGGCAGAGACGTGTCCCCGCGTGCATCCTATATATATATAAAGAGCCATATGCACCCTGCGCCGTGTGGGGCTGTCAGTGGGCGCTGACATCCTGAAAATAGCTGCATCCACCAACGCCTCGACCCACGGGAGAAAAGGGGCATTGGGGCGGTTGGATTTGGGTGCCCCATGGGGGTCGCAGGCTCTGCAGTGCTCCCCTTGGGGTCAGGCTGTTCCTAATGCTGTTCCCATGGGGTTTTTTTTCCTGTGCCGACAGCGGTGAGGACATCAGGGACAGCTGCAGGTGGTAGAAAGGTTCCCCTCGCCCCCTTCCTTCCACAGGTTCTGTTCCAGCTGCTGTGCTGAGTCCATTCTGAGGTTTGCAATTTAACTGGGAAAATCAGGATTAGGGGGAAAAGAAAAAAAGGGGGGCTCGTGCTGATGGTGCTGTGGACCCCTGTGGTTTTTCCAATCTCGGCCCTGTTCCAAATCCCCTCTCGCAGGGTGAGCATTTGGGCTGCAGGCTGCACCTCTGGGGAGGTTTGAATCGTTAAACCTCCTGAATGCAGCAGTGTCACAGTGCAGGTGAGCAAGAAAAGCCAAGCTGGAGCTCTGCGAGCTTCTCCTTCCTCCCTACCCATCGCACTGGGGGTTTCGCAGCTCTGTTTTGGATTAACCCTTTCCAAAGGTGGGTGGATTTTGGATGGGCTTCAGATCCATTAGGAATTGTATTTTGGGGGGATTTGTTTGTTTGTTTGTTTGTTTGTTTCCCCACGTGCCTGTGCAGGATCCGGGATGACACCTTTGGTCCCCATCCCTTGGGTTGGTTCATCAGATCATTAAGGCTGGAAAAGAGCTCTAAGGTCACAAGGTCCAACCACCAACCCATCGCCGCCATGCCCACTAACCACGTCCCTAAATTTGGGGCCATTTGTCCCTAAATTTGGGCTTGAGTGTGCCTCTCCAGTCCTCTCCTTCCCCACAGCACAGAGATATTCATAGGGTCACGTTGGCACGAGGCTCCTCAGCGCCCATTGAGGGAAACAAGAACCACCACACTGAGTCAGAACCTGGATCCCCCCCCCTCAGCCCCAGCTCACCGTGACTCACCTCCCTGTATTTAAGGTGTTGCATCCCATGTTAGGCTTCTATTGATTTATTTATTGTTTAAATTTCACACGTGTGCCAATGGAACGACCAGTTCTGTCCAATGCCATTGGAACGATCAATTCTGTGTTTTTCCCACTGATTTCCCCAATGTTGGTTGTTTTTGTTTCATTTTATCATCCCTCCCCAAGTTGGGACCCGTTGGAAATGGCAAAACCATCTCCCACCCCAAAAATCATCAGCGATGCTCAAATCAGTTGAGTCAGACGCCCCTGAACCCACAGGGCTGTGTGTGTGCCCACCCCCTCCAAATAAGAATCCCTCCCCTCAAATCTCTGACTACCGAACCAGGGGTTGATGCTGACCGTGGCTTTGGGGCTGCATTCGGGTCCCTTGGTGAAAAATGATGGTCTTTTTGGTTTTTCTTTTCGGTGCTGTGCCTCCCACGTGTGGTTGTAAAGCAACAGTTCGACACCTCGAGCAATGCATGAATTGATGTTTTTGCTTCGTCCTCATTAGCGGGAACAGCTGGCAGGAGTGGAGGAATTCTAACTCCAGGCTGAAGGAAAATGAAATGCCTGGGGGGGGGAGAGGCACAGCGCAGTGCATAGGAGGGACCTGGGGGTTTTGTGGGATGCTTCTATGGGGCATCCCCACTGCACCTGGCTCCTACAGCTGTGATCATCCCCAAATCCAGGCTGGGAAGCTTTCATTTTCCTGCTGGTGGTGTTTCCCCACTCGGCAATGTGTCTCTTCAGGGCTTCTTTTCCTGTTTTCCTCCCAGAATGAAAATCCTAAATCCTCCTTCCTGGAAGGAAAACTCAACCCAATGCTTTGGTTCCATGCAGCAAGATGTTGCTCCTCTAAAGGAGAACCCAAAGCAGTCGGGAGCAGCCCCCAAAAGCCCCATGAGCTCCTGATGCTGTGGATGGAGGAGGGTGATGGGGGCAAAGCCCCCCAAATCCCTACGTGGGGATGTGGAAGTGGCCATGGCCCCATAGCAGGGGTGGGCAAAAACCCATGGGCAAGCGATCGGCCATTGGGTTTTTCCAGCTCCTGCCCAGGAAGGGTTCAGTGCCATTAGAACAACCAGAGCTGTTGGAACAACCAATGCCAATGGGACGACCAGTTCTGTCCAATGCCATTGGAACGATCAGTTCCCTGTTTTTCCCACTGATTTCCCCAATTCCCCAATAACTCTGCGACCCTATTCTCCCTCCAGGCGATCCACTCCCCTCACAGCAGCACAACCCAGCCAACCCCGACCCCGTTTCCATCCCATAGCGGCACCATTTAGGGACAGAACGGCCCCATCCCACCCCCAGGACCCCGCTGTTCTCACGGCCGTGCCCTGCGCCGCCACTCCCTGGGCGATAAATAAAAGATTTTGCAGGGAGCTGCTGCCCTACTTTCTGTGCCCTACTTCTGCTGGGGGATGAGGATTTATTTCGGGTGGTGCTGTGAGTGCCCGCGCTTTCTGTGGGTTTTGCAGAGCGGGGCTCTTCTCGGGGCAGCCCTCATGTTGCACTATTGCTCTGCAGCAGCCATGCTCTGCTTCTCCACCTCTCTCCCTCCCCCTCTCCCCCCTTTTTTTTTTGGCAGGGGGAGGTGTAGAGCTGCCCAGAGGCTTTGTTTCGAGGTTAGAAATGGCTTTTCCCATCAGTCGGCTGCTTTAGGGAAGGGTGAAACCCATAAGGAGCTGAGGACCCCGAGGATGGGGCATCCCTACCCGCATCCCACTATAGGGCGTTCTCCGTGGGATCCTTTTCCCACTGCAGATGTTGAATTCCTGCCCCATACACAGGGATGGGAGGGCTCAGAGCCCACAGGCAATCGCACTGCCCCAAATCCCATAGGGGAATGGGATGGAAGTGCCCACCTGGGTGTGGGATCGTCCTCCTATGAGCGCTGCAGGGTTTGGCACCACGCTCACCCCCCCAGCACTGCTCCCCCCCTTTCCTGGCCCCGCTGCTGCCCGCCCCATTACTTATTTATGGCACATGAAAGATGCATGGCAGAGGCTCTGGGGCTCTGCAGGATCGCGCTGTGCTCAGCACTGGGCTCTGCTTCCTCCCAGCTCCTCCTGGCTTTGGGGGATTTGGGTATAGGGGAAGGAAATGGGCAGATGTGTCCAACAGTCAGTGAGGACAGACCCCATTTTCATGCAAAACGAGGGCTTTTTGGTAAATCTGCCCAAGCAGCTGCCATCCATCTGTAGGATTTCCTGTGGTCTAGGGTTTTCTATAGTGCTGAGCCCATCCCAGCTGCAGCCATGGGAGCTGAACCCATGGGAAACGCAGTGCGGAGAGGTTAAATAACAATAATTAAAGTAAGAGTTTTTAAGGGAAAGTTTCATCTGATCTTCCCATCTGTTCTACACCTGTAGGAAGCTGCGTGGGCTGGAAGAAGTAATAAGAAATGAACAGCAGAGCTGCCCTGCATGGGTCAGCCCCAAGGGGGACAAAGGCGATCCCAGTGACAGCCCTGATCCCAACCCCAAAAAGGTGAATATCGTGGCCAAAATCACCCGATGGAACTTCCAGATAATGAACCTGGGTGCCATCACAGCACTGTTTTGGGGACCTCCTGGGCTCTGTAGGGTGAGATGACCCCACAGCCAAGCAAAAAAACCCCCAGTTGGGGTCCCCAACCATCTGGAGGACTATTGAGGTCTTCCAACCTTTTGAGATCCCTCCATCATAACCAAGGGGATTACTGGGCTCCCCAGTCTGCTGGATGATTGGGGTCCTCCAACATTTTGGGGTCCCTCCACCATCACCAAAGGGATTGATGGGGTCTCCAATCACTTAGAGAATGATTGGTGTCCTCCAACATTTTGGGGTCCCTCCACCAGTAGCCAATGGGACTACTTGGGTCCCCAATTTGGGGAACTATTGGGGTCCTCCAACCTTTTGAAGTCTCTCCACTCAGAGCCATGGGGACTATTGGGGTCCCCAACCATCTGGAGGACCACTGAGGTCCTCCAGCCTTTCGGGGTCCCTTCACCATAACCAAGGGAACTACTGGGGTCCCCAATTTGAGCGACTATTGGGATCCCCCAGCCTTTTGGGGTCCCCCCCACCCTTCAGAATCCCCATATCCCATCCACCTCATGCTGAATCAATCACCGCACCCCCAGCCCCGGAGGTGTTTCCCCACCGATCACCCCAATGACCCCATCCCTAATGAATATTAACACCCATTAATTATTCAGCAAAGCACAGCAGCCCGGGAGCACTCCGCCTTTTGTCTCATTTTCCTTTTTTATTGGTACATCATTGCAGAAATAGCCCTGTGTGTGGAGGACAGTGCACCAGACACGATATTCCCATAAAGGAGGAGAGGACACCCGGCCACGCTCCGTCATTCCGAGCCGCAAACATACAACAAAATCACCCTCATCACAAGAGGGGAATATATATATATATATATTTTTTTTTTTCTCTTTTTTAATTTTTCTTATTTTTATTTTTTTATTTTATTTTTTTGCATCTCATGCGAAATAGTTAAAAATTAAAAATTAAAAAGAGAAGGAAAGAAAAAAAAACAAAACCCCACAAGAGCCCGACGGAGCCCTGTGTTTTGGCACTCCGGATGACAGCAGTTCTCGTCGGCCTCCATCCGTTTCCTTACGGACGGTCTGTGAGAGAGAGGGAAATTGCCACGAGGGAAGAAAAATGAACCAAACGAAGGTCACCCACACCACACTGCATGGCTGTAAGGAAAGCTGCGACCCCATAGACATCCTCCCATCGCTCCCTTGTGCAAGCGCCGTCAATAAAAACCCCATTCCCCCCCCCTTCCCCCAACCACCCCATCCCCAAAACCCATCCCTTTATAAAAGTTTCTTTTCCCCCCCCCCGCCAACCTCAAAACGCGACCGAAATGAAACGGAGATATCTGTAGGTTTATAGCATTCGCCAACATCCAAAGACATCAAATTAAAAACCGAAACGAACGGAGCGCCGGGAAGGGAACCTCCGCTTGGGTTCCACCGCCTGAACGCAGCTTCGGAGGGGCTTGGGACCCCCTGTGGGGCAGCCCCACGGCAGAACTGCATCGGGGGCATTTGGGAGCAAGGGGGGGGGGGGGGTGTTGATGATGATGATTTTTTTTGTTCTCGGTTTTTGTTATTGTTATTATTTTTAGGTGTAATTTCGCATCATTTTGGGGGGATTCTGCGCCGCTCGTCCTCGCGCCGGCGGTGCTGGGATTTTGGCCGATAACCTCAGAGAGCAGAAATCCCTGCCGAGGGGGCATTACACGCCGGGGGGGGCCTTTTCGGAGAGGTTCTGCAGCACGTCGTCGATCCTATCGTCTTCGATAACCACTGGAAGGATGGGGAAAATGGGAAAACAAAAGGACGGCCGTCAACGCGGTGTGGCAGAGCCCGGTACCCGCGGAGGGACTGGGGTCACGGGGTGCTGGTATCTGGGGAGGGATGGGATGGGGACACGGGATGCTCATCCCGGGATGTGCTGCGTCCTCAGGGTGTGAGATGAACTGAGTCCCCGAGGATGCGCGGTGCAAGGTGAGCACATTAGGGCACGTCCCCAGGGTGGGACTGATGGCATGGCGTCCCGCAGGGGATGCTCAGCCCCGGTACCTCGGGGAGCATCCCAGGGTGCAGGATGTGCTGCATCCCAATGCTGCAAGGCGAGCACCCCCCATAGTGACGAGAAGGACGAGCATCCCCGGAGTCCCCGCATCCCCGGGCCGCCGGTTCAGGCTGACCCGCTCCCTCCACAACCCCCATTCTCTCCCCAGGGCCCCCCAGTCACCGTCCCCGCTCACCCACCTCTTTTGCTGCGTCCGATCTGCCCCAGCTTGGGGGGCCGCTTGCCCTGCCCGGCCGCCAGCAGCGCGTCGGGGCCGTGGCGGAGGGGCACGGGGAAGGGCAGCTCGCCCCCC